AACTATTCACCAATAGTTTACTGGTAGAAGAGAACTTACCTTTTTACCAGTTCCTCAGGGTATCCCTGACTTTCATTACCATGAATTCCACCCCAGCCAGTGGGACAGATTCATTTTCTTTTCCCTTCCTGACAGTTTCCTCCATTAATGCAATCTTCATAGCTCAAAGTAAAATCTTGTCCAAAGATGTGACTTACTACAGATTCAATGTAAAACCATCTTTGCCTATACTCCCTATGTCACTGAAAAGACACTGGAAATACAGGCTGGAGTGATAGCACACCGGTAGGGCATTTGCCTTGCACGTAGCCAACATGGCCGACCCGAGTTCGATTCCTCCGCCCCTCTCGGAGAGCCCGGCAAGCTACCAAGAGTATCTCGCCCGCACGGCAGAGCCTGGCAAGCTCCCCGTGACGTGTTCGATATGCCAGACACAGTAACAACAAAATCTCCAATGGAGATGTTACTAGGCCCGCTCGAGCAAATCGACGAATAACGGGAGGGCCTTTACTTACTTACTTACTTACTTAATCTTCAAAAAACAGTGTTCCTTGAGCCTATTTCTTAAAATGTCTCAGAGAAAAAAGTGAAAATAAAACTTTTAAAATAGACTTTGAAATATAGTTCCTAAAGAAAATTTAAAGTATTATATAAATAAATAAATAAAACTGATTCTAGACACAAAAATGATCAGTTTCTGGTACTTAGTACTTTTCCTTCCAGGTTTTATTACTTTTCCTTCCAGGTTTTATATGTGCATTTTTTTTCTCCAGGTAACACTTTGATGATATTTAATACGCACATAGAGAAATGCACATATCTCAGGTGTATGCTCTAAACTTTAAATATATATAGTATAGGGACCAGAGTTATAGTACAGTAGTTAGGGCATTTGTCTTTCATGTGGCTGACCCATGAAATCTCAGCATCCCATGTGATACACAACCTGCCAATACAATACCTGAGTACAGTGCTATGAGTAAGCCCTGAGCACGCCTGGGGTGTGTCCAACCCCTCAAATAAATAAATAAATGTTTAGAGTGTAAGCAACTTCTAATAGGGTCCATCAGAAAAATCATATAGAATATTACTAACCCTCCCCCCAAAAGTTAAAGGTGACTTGATGCATTTAAATATAAACTGTACAAATTAAGCACTATTTTGATTTCTATAAACATTTTATTTTCCCTTTTGAACTAATTGATAAAATAAAAAGTATATAAGGTTTATTTACACAATTAATATAATGATTATTGCAATATTTTCATCACATTCATTATCCTAGGATTCTAGGATTTACTGACATCTCAACCTGAAATGTAAAATTCCTTTCTTTTTTATTCGGTATAATTTACTTTGGCTTTTCCACCTTTGGAAAAGTCCAAGTTCTTTCTTGATTATTTAACTCTCTTTCTTTCTCTCTCCTTAGAGAAATAAAAATACTTTAACTCCAAAAAGAAATGTTTGTGATGTTCTCTCATATTTTGTGTGTCTTAGCTTGTTTTCAATTATTATCTAGAATTCTAACTAATGAATGTGGCTTCCCCCTCTTATTTTTAAATAAGGGTAGACTTTATTTCACTTTTAAAAAATCCATATTTCACCCCTGTTTCTAAATGGGGTCTTTCAGATGTTCCAATTACAAACCCGTGATAGTCCCTAAGTCTCCTCCATTTTGACAGATTAAATTTAACTTCTCCCTTTCCACCAACCATGGTTCTATTGCAAACTGTGGTTTAGTTTCTTATTCTCTCAGGAATTGTATTTTCAATTACTGTTTGTTCTTTATGAGCAGAACATATATATAACATGTATGAGGTGATAGTATATAAAATTTTATATAATTCTAGGATTTACTGACATCTCAACCTGAAATGTAAAATTCCTTTCTTTTTTATTCAGTATAATTTACTTTGGCTTTTCCACCTTTGGAAAAGTCCATGTTCTTTCTTGAATATTTAACTCTCTTTCTTTCTCTCTCCTTATACTTAGAGAAATAAAAATATTTTAACTCCAAAAAGAAATTATGATCGACAGCACAGTGGGTAGGGCGTTTGCCTTGCAAGCGGCCAACATGGCCAACCCGAGTTTGATTTCCCTGCCCCTCTCGGAGAGCCCAGCAAGCAACCGAGAATACCTTGCCCACACAGCAAAGCCAGGCAAGCTACCCATGATGTATTCGCTATGCCAAACACAGTAACAAGTGTCACTATGGAGATGTTACTGGGCCCATTCGAGCAAATTGATGAACAATGGAGGACAGTGAGAGTGATGTAATCAAAAATAATGTGTCATCATAACTTCTAATGTCTCCTGATATTAGTCACTTAAGTTCTGACTGACTGGAGAAATTTGAATTATTTCTACTTTGGCATTTTATAGTTGAAGTATATGAATTTTAATTAATAAATATAAACACACCACATTCCAACTCCGCTGCAGAGAAGTTCATTTCTCAGTTCTGCTTCAGAGATTAATGATTAAATCTCTAAAGAGATAAACTGTAGCAATGTAGCACTGTCCACCCGCTGTTTATTGATTTGCTCAAGCGGGCACCAGTACCGTCTCCATTGTGAGACTTATTGTTACTGTTTTGGGCATATCAAATATGCCACGGGGAGCTTGCCAGGCTCTGCCATGCAGGTGGGATACTCTCGGCAGCTTGCCGGGCTCTCGGAGAGGGACTGAGGAATTGAACCCCGGTTGGCCACATGCAAGGTAAACGCCCTACCTGCTGTGCTAAAGAGATAAACTAGGCACAAAATTTTGTTCAAAACACAGTTGTCAGCTGAGACCTCCAGGACAACCCTGAGAGGGAGGCTGGCCAAGTTCCCGCCCGGCTGAACCTGCTGGAGCTCCTCACATCCCAGTAGTTACACGATGCCTACAGTTGGACTTCACAGTCTCACAACTGAGAGCCACAGAGATGCCAAACCATTCAAGCTTTTGGGTACACTGAGCATTTTGGCTGAAAATTCATGACTTCCTTAGAAAGTTCCAGAAGCCCTGGCAGCCACACCCATAGTCCACTACCACCATGTGAACTCATTGCCCAATTAAATATTATGGATTTTTCTGGACAACTCTAAATACAACACTGACATCCCAGTAGGAGCACAGTAGATAGGATGGGAATGTAACAGAGAAGCTAACTAAGCTGGACTAATGAAAATATTAACAGGGAAATGTCAAATAGCAACAACTTAGTAAACACTCAGACAAGGACATAATGTTCGCATGGTGAGGAATTATAATTTTCAAAAATTTTTCTTTTACTGAAATATGTTCTGATAATCCCATGAGCCATCTAGTTGTAAAAAGCAATATAAAACAAAGTAGTTTTGGCTGCTATGAGGGCAGGCTTGAGAGATGTTGAGGAATATCGTGATGAGAAAGTCACAGTTGTGGTTGATTGGGGTTGAAATATTGAATGCCTGTAATAAATGCATAATGAATTTCTTTGTAAAACATAGTGCTTAAATAAAGTGTAAAAAATTTAAAAGCAATTCTAATTTATGTGCAACTAGTTGCTGATATTAATGTGATCATCAACCCTAACAAAACTATTTCTTTCATTTTATCCAACACGTTCTATAGCAATCACCAAATTTTGTTATGCTAAAAATACAATGAATAAAAGGAGAACAAAATGAGCAGTTCTGCTTTACAAAGAAAAGAAAAAACAGAAAACTGGCTGCAAACTGTTCTTTTATAAGTTTATGTAAATTTATTTTGATCAGAGCTATTTGATGCTTGATTTGTATTACATGAATACATATACTATGACCATATTTTAAAAGAATTTTCCTTGGTTCACTTGAACACATCAAATAAATGTACAATATGGAATTTATTTTCTGTATACATTTTCTTTTACTTTTTTTTTCTTTTTTTTTTTTTTTTTTGGTCATACCCAGAGATAGTCAGGTGATACTCCTGGCTCTGCACTCAGAAATCACTCCTGGCGATGCTTGGGGGACCATATGGGATGCTGGGAATCAAACCAGGTTGACCGCATGCAAAGCAAATGCCCTACCCACTGTGCTATTGCTCCAGCCCCTCTGTATACATTTTAAAGCATTAATATTATCATACTAAGTAAAGTTCCAGTGAGTGAGCATTATCATATTAAAGTTCCAGTCAGCATCACTGAAATTCAACATGGGTCTTACTAGAACAAGTTCACCACTAAAAGTCAAATTATACTCTTCACCACACAACTATATCCTTTAACTCAATTGCCTTGTCCCACCTTCTTCTATGAAAGATAAATGATATAAAAGTGATCTGTGTAGATTTAAGTTAAAATACCTACAGAGTTGTAATCATTCTCTCTTTTAAATGATCTTTTAAGATCATTTTCACCATATTGTATTCTATGGGCACCTATAAGTCATGCCTTTAAAGGGGAGACAGGTTAAAAAATGAACTGATAGTGATATAATTACATAGGCGTATGGGGGAAATTGGCAGGTTGAGATTAGAAAGAACGATTCTAGAGGAAAATTCCTGAAGATTTGATCCAGGTTATGCACCCAGGAATATGTGCCTCGGATTTAGGGAGATATTCCTTTCAGTCACCCTGATCTTTCCCAGTCCCTTGTGTCTTTCTGTATTGTACATTTTAAGCTAAATGCAGACTGCCTGCCTATTCTCTTATTAAAAATAATCCAGAAAATAATATTTTTCTGGGCTTCCTAATTAAGGACAGCTCATTCCCAAACTTCCCTCCCATCCCTTTACTTTCCTCAAATTTAGTTTCTATTGAATTTGGCCATGTCCTGTCAAGTGGCCTGCTTTCAATATTGACTGCCTAAAAATAAGAATCTTAGGCGCTATAATAGTAGGAGTATCTAGAAAGCTGACATATACCCTACCTAATTTTCCTTTTAATATCATGGGAAAACTTTTGATAATGCTAGATGATGACGTTTCATACAAAAGTTTGTGTAGTTAAGAAAAACAAAAAGTGAGAAGCACACGATAAATTCTTTACTCACCAACTTTGAGCAAGGAAGTTAGTTTTCTGTAAACCCCTTTTCCTTTCTCATCTTCATCTTCTTCGTTTTGGTAGGTAGGAGACAGAGAGTCAGCTACATAATGAAGCAGTTGAGGTCGACTCTTGAAAAGAAGTCGTGGAAATCTCACAATTTCTAATTGCTCTTCTTCTTCTTCCTCTAACTCATCATCATCTAAAGCTAAGACCACACAGGAAAATGCCTCTATTGAACATGTTGGTTTAAAAGAAAAAAAATCAAGCAAGGACCAGAGAAAGGAGAGTTTGAACTAGACAGCCAACACAGGGACCCAGTGAAAGAAAAATTCTTTGAAAAGTCCATATCAAAAAGCCTATTGTAAATGAAGGTGAATAGCATTGAGCATCGAGTTGAAAATGTAGCCAAGGGAACAAAAGGAAAAGTCACAGATCTCAGTCTGTGAAGAAAGAAAGGGGAGGAGAAGTTGAGTTTAAGAATATGTGTCTCTTTTGCTCCTGAAGAACAAGCCGAGGGCTGAAGTAGTTTTAAAGATTCAATAAAATTAATTCTTCACAGTGACTTACAGAAGCAAGTTTTCCCATCACTTCCAATTCTGTAGCCTTCTTCACAAGAACAGTCGTATGTTCCCACAGAGTTAACACAGAGTTGGTCACAGACTAGACTGACATCCAGACACTCATCCACATCTAGGAAAATTTCAGTCAAGTATTAGGAATAAAAATAGACATTGTGAACACATAGAAATATCTCTGTCCTTCTTGTTTTCTCCTTTAGTACATTGATATAATAATAAAACTATAGAGTAAGCAGTCTCCAAATTCTTCCTCAAATATGTCCGGCCACTATTTTTCTTTTAGTGATTTCCAACTTTTTTGTAACTCCTCTACATAGACAATGTACTTCTGAGGCCTTATTATGAGATCCTGAGAAAGAATTTGAAATTTAATAAAGTCATAGTCTCATGCTGTGCACCATTTTAAAATCTTTTTCCCTATAAATTATTCCATATCTATGATGAAACATTTATCCCATACATAATTTTGTACAAATTTTGTCAGGGATTTTATAGAGACAGAAAAGCCTAGACTTTGATCTCATGAATTTACCTCATATCCATTTTTGAATTCAGAATTTGGCGAATGTGCTCATGTAATAAAAGTACCTTTAGGAATTTTAGACCAATACACTCTGCTTCAGATTCTGAAAACCTTTTTGACCTTTATTCATAAACCCAAGTTTATGCATTATTGCCATACAATAGAAGAGCAGATGGTATGAAAAATTATGAATGAAATAATGAAAAATTGATTTAGCCCTTAGAGTTGGATGAAATGTGCTAAATAGTAACATTCTCTATTGTGCTTAGAATATCTAGACATACTTTTTCTGTGTTCCTTGCTGTAAGGCAAAGAGATTTGGCAAACTATATGAAGTAACACAATCAATATCCTCAACATAATTCACAAATTTGTTTTTTTAAACAAAGAAATGCTATTTCTCTAAAACTGTATCTAACAGAATTTTACCATTACTAATAATCGATATCCTAAATTCAATTTTTATAATAGTATGGGTAAAATGATTAACACAAAATTAAAAATTAAAGTTAAACATATGTAGCACTGTAGCACTGTCCTCCCGTTGTTCATAGATTTGCTCAAGCCAGGCACCAGTAACGTCTCCATTGTGAGACTTATTGTTACTGTTTTTGACATATCGAATACACCATGGGGAGTCTTGCCATGCTGTGTGGGTGGGATACTCTAGGCAGCTTGCCGGGTTCTCCGAGAGGGATGGAGGAATTGAACCCGGGTCAGCCACGTGCAAGGCAAATGACCTACGCACTGTGCTATCACTCCAGCCCAAATATATGTAGTAAACTTTAAAAATGAAAGAACAGCAATGACACATGTGTTGATATACTGGCATAACAATGGAGTTAACTATTCACTACATTCAATTCTGTTTTATATGATTATATTATTTGTGCTTACATATACTTATGGTAGTCATCCCAGAGATATCACAGGGACCATAAGGGCCACCCGTAGTAATACTTGAGTTCTGTATAGTATGGTGCACTGAAATCAGGACAACAACATGTAGAGTATGTGCTTCTACCTTAGCTAAAGCATTGGTACTGACTATGATATTTTTAATAAATACATAAGCTATAAAGGTATGTGAATAAATTTTAATAAATTAGTCAATATACTGGGCTGGAGCGATAGCACAGCGGGTAAGGCGTTTGCCTTGCATGCGGCCAACATGGATGACCCGAGTTTGATTCCTCCGCCTCTCTCGAAGAACCCAGAAAGCTACTGAGAGTATCTCACCGCCACAGCAAAGCCTGGCAAGCTACCCATGACGTATTTGATATGCTAAACACAGTAGCAGGTCTCACAATGTTACTGGGCTCACTCGAGCAAATCGATGAACAACGGGAGGACAGTGACAGTGGCAGTCAAAATACTATAAAACAACTTACCTTAAAATTTGTACTAACTATACTAATGTTAGATTCACAAAATCATCTGATAGGAGATTTGGGCTGTGGTTCAAGAATTATTCCAATCCTTTTTGCTATTGTTTATAGCAATCTTTTTGCTATTGTTCTCTAATAAAATGATGTCCAGGGTCTTAATGTACAGGGCTTAAGGTACTCCCCTTGCATAAAATGGACCTCAGTTCAATTCTCAGTACTATAAATGGTTTCTTCATCATCACGGAGTGTTTGAAGCACTGGAGACTCCTGATCATTGTGGACTATGACCCTGGGTCTATGAAATCAGGGAGGGGTCCCCAGGCCTCCTGAATACCACTTGGGAGAACAAAAATAAAAGAAAACAAATAGAATGACTTCCAGTATATAACTTTCTAATTTGAGTTTAGTTTTCCATGATTGATTCCCTTGGCAGTGTGCTATGGCATTATACTAAACTAGATAAAAGTTATTAAATGCATATAAATAGTATTATAATAATAGTAGCTGTAGCTATGTTACGTGATTTCTCCATGTCAGTAACTATACTGAGTGGTTTGAAGTTATTACACTCAAATTTACCCTCCTATGCTGTTTTTATAAATTGTTTTTTGGTTCACACAGGGAAGTACTCAGAGCTTCTTCTTGGCTCTATTCTCAGGGGTTACTCCTGGCAGTGCTAGAGGACTGTATGCTGTGTTAGGATCAATCAGGGTCAATTTCATGTAGGGCAAGTAACTATCTTATGCCTCTGGGCCCTCTAATCCATTTATCTTCACCTAAGTGATAAGGATCTGAAATTGAGGTTGAGACTACTTAGAGTGATCAAGTTCTTATAAGAGTAAAAGGAAGAACCATATAGAAATCTAAGTCTCTCTAGAGTCAGTCTTTCATTTTCCACTTTCTGAATGGCTCCTCCATAGATTGGCCCATCACATCAGAAACAGCATGTCAGACTCAGAACTTTACCATCACATTGACAACCATCAGAACTGAGCCGAAAACCTTCTGAACAACCACATTCATAGCCTCCTAGATAGTTGATACAGATCTGGTCACAGCAGGACTCTCCATTTTCACATTCATCAATATCTAGAAGGGAAAGGACATTTTTATTATTTGAGACAAAAACTTTAAATTATGGTTTAGAAGCACTCAAAAAGTTTTACTTTAAAACTGCTTTATAAATTCATTCCTATTTTATTTTGTCACAAAGTATGGACGTTGAAGAAACTACCACATAAAAAATAATGAAAGGCCCATATATGGGCATATGTTTCTTGCATGCTTGTCCTATCCTTGCTATTTATTTTTGGAGTATGTAAATAATCTCCAAATGCATTATAAGTACAGGAAAAGAGATTTCTGCTATTTTTCAGATTAAATAGCAATCTGACTGAATAAACAGAGAATTTGAAAAACAACATAAAAAAAACGACTTGAAGGAAGAGCCAAATATATTCTTTAGTGAACATTTGATAGCTGCAAAGAAGAAGCAGTCTTAGACTTTATAATAAAATGTCTTCTGAAACTTTTGATGAAGAAGAAACTTTCTTTTGAACAAAGAAATTCAACAGGGAAGAAGTGGCAACTGCTATTCAGAAAAGGACAATCATTTTAAATATTATGTTTTAAATCCAGAGTATCTCAAGGATTTGAACTTTTCTGTATTCTCTCTTTTTCTTTTAACTTTTCAGTTAGGTTTTGACCACATGAGTGCGATCCAGGGTTTTCTAATACAACTGTTGACACTATTCTAAGTAATGTCTTATCATATGAAAATGCTTTTCTAAATAATATGTCTAAGTCTCTATCAGCATGTTAATAGCTTTTTAATCTAGAATTCTTCAATTCAGAATACATTTTCCTGAATATAATTACTCTAGGGCAAATGAAAAAACAGGAAAAAAAGTTAAACTGCTTAATTCAACAATAGCCTATCAACACTAAAGTTTTGAGATGATCATTACTAACAGAATGGTCTAAAGAGCAACAATTGACTCTTCGTCCTCTACTTTCCTAAGGCTAGACACCTTGGAATTGTTTCAATAGAATTTGGGATATAAGCTTTAGATGAAGTCAACCCCTGTATTTGTTGAGCTATTAAATTGGGTGGCCTGTCAGTGCCAAGTTTACAAACAATAGCTGCAACCACAGATATAAAGGTCAGTGTCTCAATTAACCTTGGAAAGGGTACCAATGTAAGGAAATGCAGACAAGAAAGGAGAAATTAAAGAAAATACAATCAATCAACTGAGGTGAGCAGGTCACTAGAAAATATCTAAATGAAGGTCATTCAAACACAAATTATTCTGCAAAATGTCACAAATATTACTATCATAAAATTCTAAATAATTTCTCTTTATCTTACACTAAACTCTGATTTTTCTTTTAGATTAAATAAAATGATATGCAGAAGACAAAAATCATTTAGGAGAAGTCAACTTAATTTAATCTAAAGTATTATTATATGACTTTTGTTTCTTTATTTTCAAGACTTAAAAATGTCTCAGATACCAACAGAGTTAGGTAACATACAGGTCCCAGGGTTCCTTGCTGTCAGTAAACACAGATTACATGTGCCTTATACATTGGAAAATGATTTCATTAATCAACTATAGTCAGAAGGGCACTTCACCATGTCAGTTCTACTTCAGGAAAAACATTATTTTTGAAAATTTTTATTTTCTGTGTAGCACATCACTGTGCTGTCACTAAATAAAGTTCCAAACTCTGGAAATTCTAAAAATTCTGATAATTGGGTCAGAGAGATAGTGCAGCAGCTAAGGTGCGTGTTTTATTCATGGCTAACTCAGATTTGATCTTCTGCTAGGAGTGATATCTGAGTGCAGCGAGAGAGGAGTGAAGGAGTAATCCCTAACCACTGCTGGGCTTGGAATCAACTGCTCTTCCTCCGATTAAAAAGAAAAAAAGAAAAAGGAAACAACAATCAGTTGGACTTATTGTTCAGCTACTTGGATTCTGTGCAGATGTTTTTCAAATGGCAGTAACTTATATCTATGTTTGCCTTAATGATTTCTTGCATTTGTGTATAATTTATTGATCATATGCAGACTAGATGAGTGATTTCACAGAATATTTGTAATTCTAATATTAATGACAAAGATGATACAATCAGGTAAAATAAAATTCATTAATTTCTTTTATGAGTTAAAAGTAATCCATGACTTAGTCTGTTCTTTTTTATTGAGGGGGTTATATTGGGTCACACCCAGTGTGCCTCAGGCCTCAGTGCTACTCCTGGCTTGGCTCTGTACTCAAGGATCACTCCTTGCGATGCTTTGGGGACTATATGTGGTGCTGGGGATGTAACTGGGTTAGCCATGTGCAAAGAAATTTCCTTAATTTCTGTTCTATATATCTGGTCTCCTTAATCTGTTTTTAGGAAAAATCGCAAATTTTACACACACACACCAAAACACATACACACACACTTCAAAAAGAGTATGGCATTTGTATTATTTGGTTTTTATAAATGAGTGTTATTTTTTGTTATAAAATAAAATAAATGAGACTTTAACAACAAAATACTGTCATTGACTGCTGATAATATATATATGCATTTTTACTATTGAATTGTTACATACAAGCAGTCAATAATGCAGTTTTAACGGAATTGCAAATTGTCCTGAACAGTCAAAATCAAACTGAAGAATTGCAAGGTATCTCATTACTTAACTTAAAGCTATACTATAAATCTATAGTGATCAAAACTGTGGTATTACAAAGAGGACAGATTCTCTGCCATTGTCAGAATAGACTATCCAAAGACAAACTCCAACACATATGGTCACCTAATTATTGACAAAGAAGCTGAAATAGTAGGGTAGTAGACAGTTTCTTCAACAAATAATGTTGGAAAAACTGAATAACCATGTATAAAACATTAAAGCTGGATCCATATCTCACACCTTATATAAAAATAAATTTAAAGTGAATCAAAAACATTAAGATCAGACCAGAGTCTATACAGAACACTGAATAAAATATAGGTAGGACACTTCAAATTTTGGACCCTGAAGATATCATCAATAATACAATTCCACTGCCAAAGGCAGCAGAATAAAAACTAAACAAATGGGACTACATCTGACTAAAGAAACATGGGCTAAGACTAAAATACAACTAACTAAATGAGACAGAATAGTTGCATTCAACATGTCCGGTGAAGGGTTGACATACAAGATATATAAAGTTGTCACAAAGATCAGCAACAGCAACAAAACCACAGCTACTCTAAAACAATAAAGAGTATAATTTAACAGGGACTCCTGCAAGAAAGATCAATGGATGGCCAACAATCACATGACAAAATGTTCGCTATCACTTATCATTAGGGAAATCCAAATCAAGATGACAATGAGATGCCATCCCAAACTTTTGAGACTGGCATTTATCTTAAATGTTGGGAACAATCTGTGTTCATGGGAAGGTGATGAAAAAGAAACTTTCATGTACTGCTGGTGGAAATATTGCTTGTTTCAACCTTCTTAGGAAACAAGCTAAAGGTTCATCTGCCATACAGCCCAGCAATTCCAGTTTTCTTTTGGTATCTACCACCAGGACACAAAAACATTCATTCATTCAAAAAGGAAGTAAGAAAACCATTATTCATTGCATCACTTAGTACAATAGAGTTTGAATCAACCTAGATATCTAGATCACAAAAATGTATCACAAAGATGTGATACATTGAAATACAGTAGAACACTAAACAGCTTCATGGAAGGATAAAATCGTGCAATTTTCTACAACATAGATGGAACTGTAAGTTATCAGGTAAAATGAAGTAAGCCAGGAGAAGACAAACAGAAACAGGATCATCTTTACTTATATATGGTACATAGAATAACTGGATATGGGGATGAAATGTTTAAAATGGGCGATGCCAAAATACTCTTGGTCCTCCAGTGCATAGGTAGGAGAAAAGGAAGAAATTGAGTAGCGAAGAAATGATAGACAAGAGGCAAGAGGGAGCTGGGTCAAGGGAACCCCAATGTATCTGTGGTTCAGAGGAGTATTATGGCTAATTTCCAAACCAAGGGTCAACAAACACTGAAAACAAATGATCCAAGCTTCAACAACTAAACTTAAAATGTGCCTCTCAAGGTCGCCTGGTTCTGGATCTATACTTGGGAGGGAAAGAGGGGGTCGGAAGATGCTGGTGGTGGGATCGGTGCTGGGACATGGTATATCTAAAACTAAACTTTGAATCACTTTGTTAAATCGTGGTCCTTTAATAAAAAGTTTTTTTTAAAATGCAGTTTTCTATGTTTCGATCCTGGAAGATGTTAATTTTTTCTGATTTTAGGTAAGTTCTTGTGTAAGAACATTACTGAATTATGTTGTTCAAGAATAAAAGGAGGGCCAGGCATATAGCTCAGACATAGCAAATGACTGTTACATATGCAGTTCTGTCCTTCATCGTTGACACCCAAAAGTAATTATTTTTAAATAATAATAAAATGCACAAAATACAAATTGCAAAATAAGTTCTTAAGCTTCATATTCTTCTTATCCGATAGTCTAAAATGTCAGAAAGCAAGGATGGAGGGATTATATTTAATTATTTTCTCATTAATATAAAAGTAGTAAAGTAAGAGAATTATAAGCATATTTTATGGACTAAAAGGAGAAAAAGAAAGCAAATTTTTCCCACTAAGTTAACCACTGTAAACTCATAAAAATTCTAGATCAGGAAATTCAATCATTGAGAGAATGTCAGTTGAAGAAGAAAAAAAAACACAAAATTACAATTTTTTGGTTAAGTGATTTATAAAAATATTTCAAAATCTTTATGGTATATTTTCTCAGCTTATTAACAAAGTAAAAGATCACCAATATGTAAGCATTCAAAATTTATCTCTTCCTTTTTAATACTCTAGATTATCTTTAACCATAGTGAGCAATGTAAAATGATAAAAGGATTTTTATTATTTTAATACTTTTTTTCTAAGAGTGGAAATAATAAAAATATGCAAATGAAAACACACAAAAGCTATCATAATTTCTCAATATAGCAAATTTCTTTAGGGATTTGTAAATTCTCTTACAACTCACCATATAATAATACAGTTAGAAGATACTTTTTCTTAGAGATTTTAAAATATTTTATCGTGAAGCAAACTGTGATAGAATCTATTGCTCTCATTTTATTACTGGGTATAAATTAAAATATGTTGGGAAAGTTTTAAATTAAGGCCCTTAATTAAAGGCCCTCCCGTTGATCGTCGATTTGCTCGAGCGGGCCCAGTAACATCTCCATTGGAGACTTTGTTGTTACTGTGTCTGGCATATCGAATACTCTCGGTAGCTTGCCGGGCTCTCTGAGAGGGGCAGAAGAATCGAACTCGGGTCAAACTTGGGAAAATTATTCATTACAAATAGGCTTGATCAGCCTGATATAGGGTTCAAAGTGATAAATAACATGCCTAAACTGTGTAATACCCAAATTTAACCCCCAGCTCTACATTCCTAAGTTCTACTGATAGACCTACAGCAACTGTACATTTGATTCCCAAAAGTTAATGTCTGATGACAATCTATTAAAAAACTGGTTTAAGCTGGTAGTTTTGGAAAATTGTCATTTTTGATATTTTCATTTAAAATATAGCTACCTGCCACAACAGATTTGAAGATGCATGCAGATCAATATGTAAAAATCAATGCATGTGATTTGTTTCTATATGAATACAGAAAATAAAATATTCTTACAATTTGTGGTTAGAAATACAAATTGTACTTAATGGCTTGATAGATCTAGGAGTATTTTTTTCTGAATGAAAACATAAATTCATATAGTTTTTAAAACTGTTTAAATTAGATCTGAAAGAGACAGTGGGTAAAGTCTTGCATGCAGCCAACCTGGTTTGAATCTCCAGGCCTACCAAGAAAGATTCCTGAGTGCAGAACCAGGAGTAAACACTGAGCACCGCTAGATGGTGCTTTAATAAAAAATAAATTATTGAATGCAATTTTACCAAAAACAAATTAAAATTGTTTTAAATTATCTTTACCTTCAAACAGTATCTAAATATCTTATACATAGCAACCTATCTTTTGCTTTTATCCCTTTGACTGAGGCTTTTCAATTTACTCACTATTTGAGATGTGACTCACTACTACACAAACTTATGTGACAGTAAAGGGATGAATGAATCCAGAATAACTTTGAAAGCAGATGGCACCTATTATACATCACCTATGCACGTCTTCTCATCTGAGTCAAGCTGTTGTCCCTGGTCACAGAAGCAGTGAGGGCCACCGGCTGCATGCTCACAGTGATGGGTACAACCTCCATTGTTCTTTTCACAGCTATTGACAATTTCCAACTCAATTCCTTTTTAAAACAAGCAAAAAAGTAGTATTAGTATAACAGAGGAATCGGAATATATGTCAGCACTGGGGACATTCTGTTGGGAAGATGATGAATTTTACAAAAAATTTATGAACTACAGAAACTTTTTAGAATGAAGGCCATTTATTCTTGTTAATGTCATACCACACCAAAACATGAATATATGTATAAATACTAAAATAAATGTTAATATAATGGGCTGGAGAGATAGTACAGTGGGTAGGGCATTTTCCTTGCACACAGCAAACCAGGCCAACCAGAGTTTGATTCCTCCGCCCTCTGGGAGAGCCCAGCAAGCTACTGAGAGTATCTCCTTGCACGGCAAAGACTGGCAAGCTACCCATGACATATTCGATATGCCAAACACAGTCACAAGTCTCGCAATGTTACTGGACCCACTCAAGCAAATCGATATATTTAATATATAGCACTGTAGCACTGTCTGTCCTCCTCTTGTTCATCGATTTGCTTGAGTGGGCCCAGTAACGTCTCTATTTTTGAGACTTGTTGTTATTGTGTTTGGCATATCGAATATGTCACAGGTAGCTTGCCAGGCTTTGCTGTGCGGGTGAGATACTCTCAGTAGCTTTTCCGGGCTCTCCAAGAGGGGCAGAGGAATCAAACTGTCTCGGCTGGGCCGGTCGCACACAAGGAAAATGCCCTACCTCTGTGCTATCGGTACAGCCCAGTGCTACCATAATATATACTAATTTTGAGATACCAGGTGAAAACACCAATGAACCAATAAATAAAGAAGTGATGAAAAAAGGTAAATATATATACCAGTGGTTATTAGATACTTATCTTAAAATATACTTATATCTAAGAATTCTCAGTACATTCAGAACATAGAAAACACATATCAGAAAGCAAGTAGATTTTTTGCTATATTTTCCCAAGCTGCTGGCATATACTTACGTATTCTCTTGAGAGTCCACAAAAATGTTAGAAATAGCTGTTAACCAAAACATAAATTAGATGTAACTAGTATCTTGTTACTGAATTAATAATTTTGACATATAGGAGAATAATACATTATGTCATATTACTTTTAAACTAACAAGTCTTGGTGCTTGCTACTAATTTTGAGAATTTTGGAGGCCAGTTGTACTTACTACCTGACCAGTCACTTCTTAGTGAATAGATGAGAAAAAAATGTTTTAATTGATCTTAGAATATTTGATCACTTGATCACTTGACATACCGTTACTCATTGATTTGGTCGAGGAGGTGCCAGTAACGTCTCCATTCATCTCTGCCGCGTGCTAATATAGCCCAATGGCACCTGCTCATTCTAGGAACACGAAGAGCCTCAAACTGATCATTCAGGGTCTTGATGAAGAAGTCTGACCATCTCACAGGTGGGCGGCCATGTGATCTTTTGACGGCCCCGTGGAATCAAGTCGGTAATGGCTCTAGTCCAGTAGTTGACTGCAAATCTCATTATGTGTCCAGCCCATCTCATTTTCAATGCCTTGGCAAACAAGACAGCGTCCCTGATTCTTGATCATCAACGGAGGTCAGAACTCCGGATTCTTTCTCTCATTTGAGTGAAGTGTGATACTCCAATAATAGCTCTTTCGATTCCTCTTTGAGAGGAATAGCGTTCTCATTCTGCTTTCATAGGACCCAGGTCTCTGAGGTGTATGTTAATGCAGGAAGAACAGTGGAATCGAAGAGTTGTGCCCGGAGCCAGAGGTTCTTTGTCCTTTTAGCTATTTCTTTGACTTTCTTGAAGGCATTCCAAGCCTCTCTCTTCCTCCTGTGCAACTCAGGTGCCAGGTCATTCGTCATGTAGACTTCTCGACCTAGGTACACATAACTATTGCATTCAGAGATGTTCGTCCCGCTGAGAATGAATGGAACGTCAGGAACGAGACCATTTCTCATAAACATTGTCTTCATGAGATTCAGCTGCAGTCCGACCTTTCCACACTCACGGTTGAAGTCAGCCAGCATTTGTGCTGCTTGGCTGATGTTTGGTGTTATTAGAATGATGTCATCAGCAAAGCGGAGGTGGTGTAGTTGCTGACCATCTATCTTCACTCCCATTCCTTCCCATTCCAGTCGTTGAATGATGTTCTCGAGGGTGGCATTTAAGAGTTTCGGTGAAATGGTATCACCCTGAAGAACCCCTCTCTTGACATCAATGATTACTTCTTTGTAGAATAGTGAGATCCTGATAGTGAATCTGTAATACAGCTCACGGAGAATCTTGATGTATTGAGTTTGAATGCCCTGATTGGCTAGGGCTTCAATGACCGCTTCTGTCTCAACAGAATCAAAGGCCTTCTTTAAATCAATGAACGTTAGACAGAGCGGCATCTTGAACTCCCAAGAAACCTCAATGAGCTTGGTTATCGTGTGGATATGGTCAATGATGCTGAATCCTTTTCGGAACCCAGTTTGCTCACATGGTTGTCCTTCATCTAGTGTTCTGCCAATCCTATTTAGGATGACTCGAGTGAACAACTTGTAGATGACAGACAATAGGCATATTGGGTGATATTTGCCAATGTTGTGGATGTCTTCCTTCTTGTACAGTAGTACAATCCTGCTGGTTTTCCACTGGGACAGAACCTTGCATTCAAACAGGTAGTGTGTGAAGAGCCTAGCTAGTGTATTGATGAGTACTGATGGGAGGTTCTTCAGGTGTTCAGGTCTGACCTTGTCCAGGCCAGGTGCTGTTTGCTTCTTTACCAACAAAATAGTGTGTCAGATTTTGGAAGGGAGAACTTTGGGAACGATGTATCCATCCTGCAGAATTTGGTATGTGGACAGGTGGATGTGGCTATCAAAGAGATCCGAGTAGAAGTCATGCATATTCTTCTCCATTGCTCTTCTGGAAGATGTGGTAGATCCATCAGGATGTTGGAGGGCAGTCATCTTGGTCTTGTAGTTGGTGAAGGACAGGTGGGTTTCTTAAAATACAGTATTAAGAAACTTTTCTATTTTTACCATTGGTCTCTGTGGTTCTGCATTTGTATGCTTGGACTTACTTCTTCTTAATGAGAATGTACAAAGAAACATTTCATTTGTTATTAGTATTATCATCATGATTTTCTTTTATAATTATCAGTTTTGAGGTTACACCTGTCTGCTCACAGCTTACTGCTGGCTCAAGAAACAGTCCTGGCATTACCTGGGGGGAGAATATGGTGCCAGGGATCAAAGAGAGGTTGGATGCACACAAGGCAAGTACCTCAACACTTGTTTACCTTTCTGGGCCCCGTTTTTTTCTATCCTGAACTCATGAGTACATTGAAAGAAGTTTGTTCTTTATCTTTAGAGCATGATAAGGGTATTTAGGATTGTGTTACTCACTGAGAGCTCATATTATCATTTAAATTGCCTAGATTGAAACTGTTTCTGTAACTCCTGTAGTTACAGTACAGAACTCAATCTTGATAATCACCAGATTCCAGGGGAAGGTAGGCAGCATTCCCCACATTCCCAGTACACACCTGTGTCATTGTGTCCTTATTCTGTGCTCTAATCATCTTGCATTGAAGCAGTTCATAAAAGTTGCTTAAAAACATATTTTGAAGGAATAAATTTTAAAAATGATTATATCATTTGCAATACAGATGCTGAAAGGTTATCATGTATATCCCTTTACCTACTTCCAACACTCAGTTCTAGTCCAGAGTGATTATTTCCTGCTAATATTGTCCTAATGGAAGCTCCTCTATCTTAAGTACCCTCCACCCCCCAGAGTCATGGTAATTTCCAACCATTGACCAGCATGCCTAAAATGAGAGAGAGGGAGGGAAGGAGAGAGAGAGAGAGAGAGAGAGAGAGAGAGAGAGAGAGAGAGAGAGAGAGAGAGAGAGAGAGAGAGGAGAGGGCCTGTCATAGAGGCTGGTGGGGTGGAAGTGATTTGGGGGGTTCGGAGGAAAATCATGGACATTGGTGCTGGGAAATTAGACTGGTCGAAAAATGAGTGTTGGAACACTGTATGACTGAAATCCAATCCTGAACAGGTTTGTAATGCTCTCGCAGTGATTCAATACAATAAAAAATTAATATTTAATAAATAATTATACCATCTTATTATTGAAACCCAGAAGACTTTTTGATTTATAAACACCTCGTTTATGATTAGGAAAATTAGAAAGCTAAAGATAAAATTTAAATAATGATGGAAACTGGGTTTGCATATTTTAACATATACTTTTTAGCAAGATGTATTTCAAATCATGGTTTCTGTTCTTGTAAATGTTTGATTTTTCTTCAGATACATTGATTTACAATCTGCATAAGTTTATAAACAGGTATTTCAAAATATTTAAATATAAATGATGCTGTTATAATCCATTAAAACTGTCTGGGAGTAAAACAAAAGCATTTTCAAATCTATGACTTTCCTTTAGAAAAAATCAGACATTTGAGTTATTAATATGAAAAATATTAAATATTTTTAATTAAATTATTGTCTTCAAATACTTTAAAGTATTCCTATATTTTCACATAGGAAACAAATAATCATAATTTGTCTGATGTATTAAATATATATTGGCTGTTAAATTTATCAATGTACTATTTTGTTTGGTCATTTGAAAAAAACTTTTAAAATTATGCTGAGTAAAATTTTCTGGGGCTGGAGCGATAGCACAGTGGGTAAGGCGTTTGTCTTGCACCCAGCTGACCTGAGGTTGTTCTTCTGCCCCTCTCAGAGAGCCTGACAAGCTACCGAGAGTATTTCGCCTGCACGGCAAAGCCTGGCAAGCTACCCGTGATGTATTCGATATGCCAAACACAGTAACAAGTCTCACAATTTGTTGTGAGATGTTACTGCGCCCACTCGGGCAACTTGATGAACAACGGAACGACAGTGCTACAGTGCATAATTTTCTGATTTCTACTTAGCAAATACTAATATTGAACTTATAACATTGTAAAGTTTCAATATAATTTTTTAAATTTTTATTTAGTCATATGAAATTACAAAGTTATTCATGACTGGGTTTCTTGCATATAAT